CATCGGTTCAAGGGCGCAAATCTCTCCGGCATATGCATTGGCCGCTTGAGCTCCAAAACATATATATGCATACATACATACATACATACATACATACATACATACATACATACATACATACATACACACATAGACATACATGAACGCGCATATGCCGCACGCACTTTTGTCATTGCTCCAGGTCCCGTATGCATGTAGAGGGCATGCCATGGATGTATTTAAACATAAACAAAGTAGAGCTGAATGCGTTGGTATGCCGCACAGTGGTACTCAACAAATTTCTCAAGCAACGCGGCACCAGGTGCCCGGCTTCCATGTGACGACGACCCGCTGGCATGGTCCGCGAAAGCCTTGGGGCGGATCCTAAACCAGAAACCCTTCCCAAAGCCAAGCTTCCCAGACGTATGTACGTGAGAATTTAGAACTGAGGAATGCAGGTTGCTGCTGGTATACGTGTTCGTGCACGGCTCGTATTCGACCTTGGAGTCTTTAGTGCGGGTGCAAGTCTCTGAAGCAATGCTTAGAAGAGAGCTTATAAGCGATTTTCCCACTCCGAAAACTAACTTTCACCGGCAATGGGTCTCCTGGGTGTCAAACAGAGGTAGATCGCAGGATGTCCGAAAGGTTTGCCGAGCCTCAGCCGAGGACGGCTCAGCAGCGGGCACGTGCTTTCGCATTATCGACTGTACTTCCATCGTCTTCCTCATCAACCACACCGCCCTGCCAACTTCGTCGCGTCACTGTCGGAATCCCGATGCCGCTCAGCTTTTTCCCTCATTCACATCATGTTGCCAGCACCAATCTCCGAATCATCACTGCCACCACCAGAATCACCGGAAGACAACGTCGAAAACACGAGTCAGCACGATGCATCGTAATTCTGGCGATCTTCGGGCTGCAGCCCAAGGTTGGAGAAGAGGAGCTCACCTCCGGTCTTCAACAGACGGCCAGCAACCAAAGAAATCAAAATATGCTCTTCTCTGAAACTGCAACTGCAACTTGCCCTTCGTGGCCAAGGAATGAACTCTGCAAAGCTTTCAACACACGCGCTGAGACTTCAGAGGAAACGTCCCGGTGCGGGAGGTCTCTTTCTGATCCTCCCTTTCCGGGGACAGCCTTTAAATCGCACGGCTCTCTTTGGAGTAGGTCCACTCCCACAGGCTTCTTTCGATTTCCTGCAGCTCCAGCATTGCAGGAGTGCTTCGGAGGAAGCCCCAAACTTCAAAGGAGGGGCACTGTCCAAGAGTGAAATGGCCATGGTCTGGGGTCGTCGCCCTCCAGAGACCCGACCTCGCAGTTTGTAAAAGACCCTGCCTTGACCCACTGCCTATTCAAACATATTCGAATCAAACTTTGTCCCTTTTGCAACTTCGTGCCCGGCTGGATCGATGCACAGGCGAAGGCAGGCAATGGAAAAAGTTTGGCTCTGGTACCTGAGTGGTCAATCTTTCCCCCCAGCGCAAACATACGCGAAGTGCCCGATGTTGTTCGGAACCAGCGGGGAGTGATTGGTCAGCGCCTGAAATTAATTAGGTGAGCTCTGCGAGCGTTGCCGGCATCTTGCAAAGTCACGTTATGGTTGCCTCCTACGAATACGAGTACCCGGCCATGTCTAGGCCGCAATGATGTTCCCAGCTTTTCAAGGTCTATGAAGACCCAGGAACCATCACTGAAAAGGGGCTTTGGGTCAGTTCGCAGCGCGCGATCGCAGAGCTTCTTCGGCAAAGGGGTGGGCAAAAACCACAGCACTTCAAAAGCTGCGGCTTTCAGCCAACTGCGGAGCGCTCCCCACGAGGCGCCGCGGTCTCTCTTTTCTTTTTTTTGTGTGGGAAGGAGGAGCAGAGAAGTGCCCGACATTTTTGGGGGCGGCGTTCACGCTCTTCAGGCCGGAGTCGCCCTTCATGACGAAGCTCCTCTGAATCAGGACACCAGACAAAAAGTCTGAGTGCTCTCACAGAGCGCTTCCACTTTCTTTCCACGGCGTCCTTTCGAGCCCCAGCCAAGCACAGCCCACCATCAGAGCCAGGGAAGCAGGTTCAGAGATGTCATTCTCCAAAGGAATCCTCGGGCAAGGAGAGTTTCGACTCACACACTCGCACAAGGCTGGCACGGCATCCTGCGTCCGAGATTGCGACATGGACTTGCGGGCAGTGAGCTGTGCATACACAACATAAATCAACATAATATCAAACAAAGATAACAGTGACGTGACGATGCTCTGGATGCCTGCAGCGGGGCTTGACCATCGTCTGACTTGTAGAGGTATAGATTCACACCCCTACGCCTGTTTCAATATGCGTTGTCTAGTGTCAACTGTTGTCAAGACATGCACTGTAGTCGTCACAACTCACACATTAGCTCGTGCAGCGAGGGCCAAATTCACCACCTTTCAAGGAGAGTTAAGGCCGCTCTCGGGGGCGTTTGGATTCAAGAACCAGACACGTCAGCCCCGTTCTCGGAAACACACCGCTTCTGCCGTGGCTCTGCGCAGCCATGGCCGAGGCCTCTCGTGAGGGGCCGACGGTTCAATGAGGGATGCCCCCCGCGATGTTAGCCGATGCTACTGGGTCTGCCTGTACCTTTGTCTATATACGTGCAAAAAAAACAAAATATACACATATGTATATATATGTATAATTATATATATATATATGTGTGTGTGTGTGCTCATGATATATATATATATACATATATATATATATACATATATACATACATATATACATACATATATATATATATGTATGTATGTGTGTGTGTGTATACACACAAAAAAGAATATGTGCATGCAGGATGTTTGTTGGAAACTGCTGGAATTTCAGCATTTCTACTCGTTATATGTGATCATGAGCTGGACGAGCTATGCACGAGGCCTGACGGCTATGAAGCAGTTGCTGGCCACGCAGAGGAGGAAAAAGGTAAACACCTGGTTGTCGGGCTTTCGTCCGCAGGGTTTGCTTGATGGCTGGACTCGAGGCCAAGCCAACCAATATGGAGCTGCAAGCAGGGGACTACCATCCCGATGCCCATGCCGGCCACAGCCACTGTCTTGGCGGCGGGTTGGCTCATCCTTTGGAAGCTGAAAAGCAGAGAAGCCAAACAAAGATCGTCGCGCTTGCTACGGCCATGAGACGAAATGAGATGCCATATGATGCCACCAAGTCTCCAAGCTGAAAAAATCCAGTCTGACTGGTCGTGGCTGGCCACGTGAATCCGCCTCGAAAGAGACTGAGTGAGAACCGGCCCGCTCCGCAAAATGGTACTGTACCTACAGGACTAAACTATCTGAGAACCCGACCACTCCGGGGTGGGCCCCTCGAAAGGGCTCAGGCGCGGATCTGGCGGTGGTATCGGAGGAGCGTCTTCACCGAAGGGGGGGCGAAGGAACATGGCACCACTCGGGAGCCTTGGCTCGTGGACAGATGTGCAGTGCACCGCAATCTTGATTTTCATTCAAGTCGGGCAACGTGACGGTGTAGCACTGGTGAAGAATTTGTCGCAAATCTGAAACCTGGGCCACCGGAGCTGGAACAACAGCTTGTTGGCAGCCACGGCCCACACGGCCACCGCCCCGCTCACCGGTTGCAAAGATCCCCCGGAAATACAGAAAATGGTGTCTGAGTGAGAAAGGTCCCTTTCTTGAATATAGCTGTGTTTCCGAAAAGTTCTTCTAGAACCCATCT